CCTCCCGGGTTTATGAGAAAGATACATCTGCCCCTCCGAGCCCCCGCAATGGCGCGGCCTCTCCCCGTCCTCGTTCGAGACTGTCTGTCATGGATGACGATCATGCTTTGGCCAATCGATGGGGCCTGAGGGGTAAGAAAGGCAAGAGCATGCAAGATAACCCTCTGATCTCTGCGTTTACACGGTTACGGAGCGACCTGAAGGACTGCAAAGACATTCGGACCTTCGATACACCGGCACTTCTGCACCCCTTCCTGCAAGTCATCCGGTCATCCTCAACCTCGGCCTCGATCACCTCCCTCGCCCTGATCGCTATCACCAAGTTCTTCGCGTATAACATCATTAATCGCGACTCACCTCGGCTCTCCATGGCCATGCAGCTTTTGTCGGCCGCCATAACCCACTGTCGTTTCGAGGCCAGTGACTCCGCTGCGGATGAGATTGTTCTGTTGAGGATCCTCAAACTGATGGAGGGAATGCTATCCCGACCGGAGGGAGAGCTGCTTGGCGATGAAAGTGTCTGTGAAATGATGGAAACCGGTTTGAGCATGTGCTGTCAAGTGCGCCTCTCGGAAGTGCTGCGGCGATCCGCCGAAATGGCCATGGTCAATATGTGCCAAGTGATCTTTTCACGGTTGTCGCAGCTGGAAGTCACAGAGTCGGTCGATTCGGGCTCTCTGACCATAGCCGGGAACAGTGCCGAGCAGACGGGCCTTAAGATGGATCCCTCTGTTGATGGGAACACCGTAACCTCCCAACATCCTTCTGCCATGGGCTCCGACACCGCGGGACCGGAAAGAGAGCGCGCCGGCGGGGATGAGCCTTCCGATCAAGCTGCCGGCGGGAATGCTGTCGCCGCGCCTCCGAACCCAGAGGACGATCTCGGGAACGGGGTCGAGCCGTATTCCTTGCCTTCTATCCGGGAATTATTCCGTGTCCTCATCGACCTGCTTGATCCACATAACCGACAACATACCGACCCCATGAGGGTAATGGCATTGCGGATTATAGATGTGGCTCTGGAAGTCGCAGGCCCTTCCATTGCCAAACATCCTAGCTTGGCCGCATTGGCGAAAGACGATCTTTGCCGTCACCTGTTCCAGTTGGTTCGCTCGGAAAATCTAGCCATTCTCAGTGGGTCGCTCAGGGTTGCTGGCACTCTCCTTTTAACCTGCCGGTCCGTCCTCAAGCTACAGCAGGAGCTGTACTTGTCCTATCTAGTTGCTTGTCTTCATCCTCGCGTAGAGATACCGAGAGAACCTGGCATCGACCCGGCCCTGTATGATGGGGTACCCCAAGCACCCAAGCTGGTGAAACCTCCTCCTTCACAGACCAGCAGCGGCAGGTCCACGCCGGTCCCCGTCAAGGATAGACAGAAACTAGGTCTGGAAGGTGGCTCGAGGAGACCAGAGACTCGGGAAGCCATGGTTGAGAGCATCGGCGTGCTGGCACGTATTCCCAGTTTCATGGTGGAGCTTTTCGTCAACTATGATTGCGAGGTAGATCGGGCAGACCTCTGTGAGGACATGGTTGGTCTACTTTCCCGCAATGCCTTTCCTGATTCAGCGACGTGGAGCACTACCAATGTGCCCCCATTGTGTCTGGATGCACTGTTGGGGTACGTTCAATTCATATACGATCGTCTCGAAGACGAGCCGCGATACGAGGGCTTTCCGTCCAAGGAGATGCTGAAAAGCCAACGCAAAAAGAAGAGGGCCATCATACAGGGCGCCCAAAAGTTCAATGAAAATCCAAAGGCGGGAATTGCATATCTTGCAGCTCATGGTATCATTGAAAACCCGGACGATCCTATCCTGGTTGCCCGATTCCTGAAGGGAACGACTCGGATATCGAAGAAGGTTCTTGGAGAGTTCATTTCTAAGAAATCCAATGAAGCAATCCTTGACGCATTTGTCGATCTGTTTGACTTCTCCGGCAAGACTGTCGTCGATGCGCTGAGAGATCTCCTCGGTGCTTTCCGTCTTCCTGGAGAATCTGCTCTCATTGAAAGGATCGTGACCACATTCTCTGACAAATTCGTCCAGAAAGCCCACCCAAAGGGCGTTGCAGACAAGGATGCACTCTTCGTGCTGACATACGGCATTATTATGCTTAACACAGATGCTTACAATCCTAATATCAGGCCCCAGAATCGCATGACCTGCAATGATTTTGCAAGAAATCTGCGCGGAGTCAATGCGGGAGAAGACTTTGCTCCCGAATTCCTTCAAGAGATCTACGACTCAATCAAACAAAACGAGATCATTCTACCCGATGAGCATGAGAATAAACACGCTTTTGATTATGCATGGCGCGAGCTTCTTCTCAAATCTTCGTCTGCCGGAGACCTGGTGGTTGGGGAGACCAACATTTACGACTCGGAGATGTTTGAAGCAACTTGGAAACCAGTCGTGGCAACGCTTTCGTACGTCTTCATGTCCGCCTCAGACGATGCAGTCTACTCTCGAGTCGTGATGGGTTTCGATCAATGCGCACAGATCGCTGCGCGTTACGGCATAACCGAGGCATTCGACCGCATCATCTTCAGTCTCGCCTCCATTAGCACTCTTGCCACGGACAAGCCGCCAAGCACGGCCCTTAACACGGAGGTCCAAGCTGGGAAGAAGACCGTGATGGTCAGCGAGCTTGCCGTCAAGTTCGGGCGAGACTTCAGAGCCCAGCTAGCCACGGTTGTTCTTTTCCGGGTTCTGGCAGGAAACGAGTCTGCTGTTCGGCAAAGTTGGAAATATGTTTTCCAAATCATCAGCAACCTCTTCATCAACTCGCTCATTCCTTCATTTGAAAGTGATATGATTGCTGAACTCGGGATCCCTTCGATCCCACTGCAACCCCCATCACAGGTCGTAGACCGTGATGCACGTGGTAGTGAGACAGGACTCTTGTCCGCTTTCACATCTTATCTCTCCAGCTATGCGGCCGATGATCCCCCAGAACCGTCAGATGAGGAGCTAGACAATACGCTTTGCACGGTTGACTGCGTAGCCGCATGCGCAATCAATGATGTTCTGCTCAACATTAAGTAAGTGCATTACCCTTTCTCAGCCCAGCTCCTGTGCGATACCAACAATGACATTGACATAGATCCCTTCCCCTCTCATCCGTCACTCTCGTCGTAGAGTCGTTAATGGCTGAGTTACCTGAAGAGACTACTCCAGCCGTCATTGTTGTCAAACCAGAACGACCCATTCCTTCTCCAAGATCGCCAAATGGCAGAGCCATTGCACAGAAATCAAACTATGACCCAAAGATGATGTATTATTTGGAATTGGCAACGGTTCTTACCCTTCGTGACCAAGGAACCGTCGAGGCCCTTGGTGAACGGCTGGCCACCGTGTTGCAGGCCTTTATCAGAGATGCAGCGAATCTGCACTCGCTGGCCCTGTCCCGGATCGTCTCCTATCTGTTCAATTTGTTGCGACTGAGCCATGTGCGCATGCCCTACCCTATCCGTTCTCGATATTGTATGTCAGGTCGACTAACATTTTCCAGGATCAATCCTTGATGCGTGTGCCCGTGATTCTCCACGGCATATCCAGCTTCGAACAGGATATTCTAGAAAGTGTTGCTGTGTCCACAATCAAAGGTCTAGCCCTGTGCATCTCAGAACCAGGTCTCTTGAGAAACGAGCTCACCGTCTCCCCCGACTTCTGGTCCATTCTGCAGAGACTGCACCAGCACACGGAGGCGGCCCCGTTAGTTTTCGAGCTCCTTCGCACGATCATTGAATCTGTGCCTCCTATAGTGACCGCAGATAACTATGAGTCTGCTGTCGGTCTTGCCAATGATTTCATAAGCGCTGGTAGCGTGGGCTACATCGAAGAACGACAGAGGGATGCGGCCTCTCGGCGCTCTAAGGGCGTCAAGCCATCAAAGCCAAGGTTCGTATATTTTTTGTAGAGTGAAATTGATGTCTCAAGTAGTAGCTAAACAAAGCTTGCAGTGAGAACGAGGTCGTTGCTCGCGGTGTCAAAGCCGTTGGTCTCATCTATCACCTGACGAATCGGGTTCCCACCCTCATTAAGCAGTCCCATCTTGAGGAGCGTGAAGGTACGTATGAAGCGTGTCTAGTCGGAGCAGAACAGGCCACTAACTTTGATAATGCCGTAGCTTGGTCAGCCTACTGGTCACCCGTTTTCCAGTCTCTGAGTGCACAGTGCATTAACCCTTGCCGGGATATCCGGCATCATGCGGTTTCCACTCTGCAAAGATGCCTTCTCTCTGTTCACATTGATTCGACCGATGATAAGGAATGGACCGCTATCTTTGACCAGGTCCTCTTCCCACTTATTCTCTTGTTACTGAAACCCGAGGTCTACCATTCCGATCCACTTGGTATGAGTGAAACTCGCGTTCAAGCAGCAACACTGGTTTGCAAAATCTTCCTACGCTATCTCGACCAACTTCCGAACCGGGAAGGCATGCTAGACCTCTGGCTGAAGATTCTGGATATCCTTGACCGTATGATGAACAGCGGTCAGGGAGATAGCTTGGTACGTGGAGTTGCATTCCTTGGTGCATTGAGGGATGGATACACTAACGCTCTTCTACAGGCGGAGGCAATTCCCGAAAGTCTCAAAAACATTCTTCTAGTCATGGCGGATGGCGGACACTTGGTGCCGCCGTCCCAAGATCCCAGCAAGGAACCAATCTGGACGGAAACCAAGAAACGCCTGGAGCGATTCCTCCCAGACTTGTTCAAGGAGATTTTCCCTGAAGACTTGAACACAAAGCCCGCTGCAGCCTCCGCGGTCTCGTCTCCTATTTCTTTCTCCCACGACAACGCCGAGGCCACCGATGCAAACGTCGGAGAGGCTCAGCCAATGCCTGGGCAGTCAGAAAATGAAGTCGAAGCCATAAAGCCTGAAACCGAGACCAACTAACCACGGGGACTTCTTGTCTATCCTCTATTCAATTCTTCTTTTACCACTTCGAGCATTTATAGCGTGGGTAGCTACTTCATCGTCTTCCTCTTGTATACATGTAAATATAATGATCATTCGACCAACAATGTCCCGGGAATGGTGGAACAGTCCTACCTAGAATTCATCGACTTCTGGCTCATCCCTACGAAGTCCATCTACGATAGATCTAACTGTGTCCTGTCTCTAAGCACAAGCACGAGGTCGCTTGCTTGAACAACACGAACGAATGAATCCTTGTGCAGAAATGACTCCCAAGAATTGAGAAGTGGATTGAAACACAATGACCATCTATACAAACAGAAGAAAAAGTAAAATCGCCATATAGAAGCGGTATCACGCCCCACGTGGATGCAAACAGGAACAAAGGAAACTAGTAGTATGACAAAGACATACGCGGCTGGTTCAGATCCAGTGTCCACAAATATTTCGACAGAAAGACAGAACCAACGACAGCCGGAGATCGCGAAGAGAAAGAAGTTACTGGAAAGTTGAGCGAGTGACATTTTCACGTACGTAGGTATGTATGCGACTTGTAGCGCGGAATGAATTTCTAAGGAGAAAGGTGCGTGCAGCCTTTGCAAGATAGCGATGTCGAATGTCGGCGGCCGGGAGACAGAGACATGAAATAAATGTGAAACGAAAAAAGACTATTCGGCATCCATATCATCATCAAGATCAATAGCGTCTGGGTTGACGGGCGCGGAGGGCTGCGGCTGCTGCTGACCCGGCGGAGGGGACGATTGCCGCCCTCGGGTCCGGTGCTGGCGGCAACGAAGCCCACGGGGGCGCGAGCTTGCCGTTCCAGAGCTGCCATGGCGTCCGCGCGCTCCTTGGAGGCATCCATGTCTGCTTCCTCGCCTTCCCTCTCCGTGCCGCCTTCCTGGGCGCGTTGCTGGCTGCGAGCGATTGCTTGGGAAGCAATGAAGTTGACATCGGTGCTGTTTCGATAAATATTAGTACATTATCAACTTTCGTGAATAGGTCAGGGTTCACATACTTGTACTGCGCCTGAACACTTCGCTTGATACGAAGCATCTCCTTGAAGGTATCTTCGTTTCCGTGCTGGACCTCGAATGCCTCCCACTTTTGCCAGAAGCCGGCGTTGGTACGGGGGTCGCAGAACTGAGAAGCATGGCCGTAGATCGCACGTGCACGATCGATTTCGCCAAGTCTCCTTTCCATCTCTGCGAACTTGAGGCACATCTCTTTGGCTTCCTGGTCGGGCAAGGCCGCAATGGCCCGTTCATAGATAGGCCTCGCGGATGTCAAACCAAAGTTGGAGGCAGACTTGGTGATGTAGAACTCGAACATTTCAAATCTGTCCTCATCGGAAACTGCCCGAGTTGCACGCTCATAGATTCTCATTGCGTGTCGGGCCAGACCGCGTTCTTCTTCAAGGTTGCCGTACATCAAATACAACGGCTTTGCGAACTTCGGCGGACATCCGTCGAGAGCCTGTTCGAAAAGGTCCCTCAATCTTTCAATGCCGATCTTCCGATCCACCGCCTTGGTGAGATAAAGGTTCCAGAGCTCGAAAGCAACCGGATAGCTGAAGAGATCCAGGCCTCTTTCGTAGACTTTGAAGGAATCCTCAAAGTATTTATGCTCCTCCAATAGATTGGCATAGTTGACCACAGTCTGAGGTGTTGCGATGCGCAGTTCAAAAATCCTCTCATATACCTTCCTCGTCTCTTCCAAGGTTGCAACACTCTCGACCAGATCCACATAGAAACTCCAAAGCTTCCAACTCTTATGAACGCGTTGCTGAGGGGAGAGACTTTCGTCGAAATAGTCCACCGTAGACTTCTTCGGCGCCTGCGTAGCTTTGGCCATGATATCGACGGCCTTATCGAAATTCTCACTTCGAAGTTCCATCTCAGCCCATTCACACCATGTCTCTGCTAATTCGGCGACAGATTTGAAGGGAACCTTGACAGCCTTGTCGAAAATGACTCGAGCGGTGTCCAAATCTCCACCACTCTCGTAGAACTTGGCGTAGTTGACCCAGAGTTCAGAAAACTTTCCATGAGCTTTCTTCGGGTTGATTGCAGCGATGGCGGCGGTGTATGTGTTGACAATTTCTTCTTTGTTATCACCCCACAGAGCCACCCTCTTCTCCCATTCAATGACATTGTTGGGATTTTGCCTTAGCAAGACATCGTTGACAAGGAACGGCCGGCGATCCATAAGTTGTTCAAATCTCAGCATTCGTAGATCAAGGTCGAAATCAGCGTCTTCGTCGACATTGCCTTTATCAGCCCGGACTGCTGCGGCCTCCATCAAGCTTCCAATGATCGATTCTTCAAATTCAACATAGGCGTCGAATATCAGGGTGAAGTCGCGGACGGTCATGACGGTGGTAATACCTTGTTCGAACACATCGCGTGCTTTCTCGAAATTACCCTTCGTGATCCAATAAGTCGCCAACCCAGCCCAGAGCTTCCCTCTCTGATCCGCAAACCGATCAATTCCACTCCGAAGGATGGCGTCAACATCGATGCCGACTTGAGGGCCGGTCTGAATCTGCTTCGCTTTAGAGACAAGCAGGTCTACCATCTCAGTCCAAAGCTGGAAGTTGCTCTTTCCTTTCTTCGACTGAAATCTCGGGTTGTCCAGGATTTCCAAGTACCGCTTGACAGCTTCGGTATACTGGCCCAGCTCAACGAGCAACTCGATATAATCTTCAGCATTTTCTGGGTGAATTTGCATATAACGAGCCCATATCTTCACAGCTGTTTGTCCAGATGCTGATCGCGCAAAGGCTTTGTATAATTTCCAGATCCGGTTGTGCTGGGTGATCGGTAGAGCACGAAGCGCGCGGTCGAATGTCCTCCGAGTCTGTGTTACCAATGGTTGTTGTAGCAAGAAAGAGAGATACATCTCCCAGATTTTCGGCATTTTATTCAGCAGTATGAGGGCTCGTTCGAAGAGCGCGTTCACCTTCTGATATTCACCACGGTATTTTGTCGCATTACGGCCCCGAAGGTGGTTTATTCGAAACTCCAGATACTTTAAACAGTCAGTAAGATCATTCATTGCTATGTTCCAGAAATTTATGTGAAGAAAGCGACCCAGAAAAAGAGACCGGTTTGACATACCATTTTCCAAAGCTTGTATGATCTGGGAAGCTGTTTACAGGCACGCTCCATAACCTAAAACAATCTATCAGCATGTAATCTCGGAGCAAATGGGGGAGAAATCCTACAAAGGCCTGCTCGTAGAGTGTCCCATTCTGCTGTTTGTATTCAATGTAGGCAAGCCATGGTTTGATGCTGCCAGGAGCCCGAAGAAGATCCTGTTCATAGACAGTATCCTGATCGGCCTACGCGCAAGTACAGTGTCAGCATCCACGATTGCAATGCTCAATTCATGCCCAGCGCTTACAATCAGGTAAAGGTCTGGCCCTGAGGCAGACGTTCGGTCCATCTGTGCGTGTTGCCGGTTAGATCTCGGGGGCAGGAGGGTCCCTGGCATTTCGCCACTCGTTCGAGCGGGACCAGCTCGCACGGTCAACACAGGGTCGGAAAAAGGGAGAGTCGCATGAACTGGAGAGCTTCCTGTGTTCCTTGTCGCGTTGACCAGCAAAGATCAAGCGCCGCAGAACGTGAAGTTGGACTGGAGCACGTGACCTTCTGTCATGCCGCAGCCAGGCGGGCAGAAGTGGCCCAAGCTTCTTCCTCTATAACGGTGCGTATCATCATGCCAATGAGAGGCCCAAGCAATGCGCCCTGCTCTTCCTTGGTAGTAGTAACATCTAGTTTGAACATTATTACTTTCATTTAATCATTTCCCAGCCATGTCGGGTGCAGTGGTATGTGTCTTCTCTTTGTTTGACCCGCTTTACCCTTTCGCTGATTGATATGGATGTCCTTATCAGGGCCGCGAGCCAGTCTTCCCGACCCGCCAGTCGCTGGGGTTGATGAAGAGTAAGCTGAAGGGTGCGGAGACTGGTCACAGTTTATTAAAACGAAAGAGCGAAGCCCTCACCAAGTAAGTCCGATAATACTGTTTTGAAATCTATCTCACTTGCTGATATATCCGTCCAACTGCAGGCGTTTCCGGGGTAAGACATTCCCCGACAAGAGAGCACACCCTGCCGCCAATTCTCAAAGCTGATCTGTATACTAGAGATCACCAGACGCATCGATGAAGCGAAACAGAAGATGGGACGTGTTATGCAAATCGCTGCATTTTCCCTGGCCGAAGTGAGCTACGCTGTTGGTGGAGATATCGGCTACCAAGTTCAAGAATCGGCCAAGCAAGCACGGTTCCGAGTACGGGCTAAACAAGAGAATGTCTCCGGTGTCTTCCTACCGCAGTTTGAGAGCTACACAGAGGAAGGGATCAATGATTTTGGCTTGACTGGTCTCGGAAAGGGAGGTCAACAGGTCCAGCGGTGTCGGGAGACATATGCTCGAGCAGTGGAGACATTAGTGGAACTTGCGAGTCTACAGGTACTGGATCTTTACATGTGCTGGAGCTCGCTCGTCTCTAACGTGTGGTATTTAGACTGCGTTTGTGATCTTAGACGAGGTCATCAAAGTTGTCAATCGACGAGGTGAGCCTAGTCCGCTTCCGCCCATGACGGCACTGAAACGCTGACCAAGACCATAGTGAATGCAATGTACGATTTGCACCTGAAAGTAGACCCTTTACAGACTAACCTTCTTAATTAGTGAGCACGTCATCATTCCTCGAACCGAGAACACTATAAAATGTAAGTAACCCTACGAGCTCTTTATCTCTTCGATATCTGACCAGGCCCAAGACATCAATTCGGAACTCGACGAACTGGACAGGGAGGAGTTCTACCGATTGAAGAAGGTTTCAAACAAGAAGCAGCGGGATAGCGCCGCCGCTGATGCCGAGATTGTAGCTGCTAGGGAAAGGGAGGCTGCGGACAAGCGGGCCGCTGAAGTCGAAGCAGCGGCGCCTGAAGCCCCAGATGTTCTGGGGGAGAATGAAGACGCCGATGTCATTTTCTAGAGTGTCTGCGCTGTTTCTTTGGGCAATGTACATTTCTTCAAGCATGTTTTGTTCGTCGCTTTACATTCGGTTTTCATCTATCTCATATTATGAGGATATCACTCAGACACAGGAGGCCAGAGTGAAATGCGGCTCTGCGGATGAATACACATCATTTTCTCCATGATCAAGACCAAAAAATTACAAAATAGAAATGAAAACAGCCTTCCTAACGCCAGAACAAGTGTTGAACCCGATGCCCAAGGCCGCTCGAAAATGAGTAGTTCACTGTCTTTGGTAGGTGACGCGGATAGGCTTGCCGTTGTCCCCCATAGGCATGTTCGCTGTAGCCTCCTTCGCGCTGATGGCACCAGACTCGTTCTCGTACTCGACAAAGGCGATCCCTTTTCGGCCAGGAACCAATCTGACTTCCTGGAACCCTTCGAACCGACCAAATATAGCGGTAAGGCTCTCTTGGTCGGCGGTGTCGGGCAAGTCCCGCAGGAAAAGAATCTTGTTGGGAGGAAGGTACTCGTCGGGGATAACTGCTGCCGCTGCACCGCTGGTCGGCTTGAGACCCGCGCCCTTGACTGCCTTGGCTGGACGCGCTGTGTCGGCAGGGCCGGGGGACGCTTGAGCTTCTTCTGAGCTTCCAGAGCTTCGTGGGCTTGTTTGCGCTCTACCAGGGACAAACGGGGTTAGCGGACGACATGCTTCAATACCCCAAAAGAGATAGGCAAGACTTGAAGAAAAAAACGCACCCTTCTCTGCTAACCGCCTCCGCTTATGGACCTCAAGCTCTTCTGTCCCGCCCTCGCGCAGAACGGTTGCATCGCTCTTCGTTTTCGCATAGTCGAGGACCATCGGCTTGTCGAAAAGCTCAAACCCGTTGACCTCCTCGATTGCGCGGGTCGCGGATTCGACGCTGTCAAAGACAATGAACGCCTGGCCTTTGGCCTTCAGGTTGGTCTTCGCGACGATCTCCACGATGTTGCCATACTCGGAGAAGATCTCTTCCAAGGCTACTTTGAGCTGGTCGACCTTGATGCGTTCTTCTAGGTTACGGACCTGTTTTTGTCAGGGATGTTAGATGCGCTGTTCATTCGTTGTAACATGCGGACGAGGGGACACACATAGACACTGCAGAGCGTAGCTTTAGTTAGCACAATGTAGCTTCCAAGGATTGGATAAGTCAATGGCAACTCACGTAGGGTTAGGGGGAAGAGAGGAAGTAGTCGCTGGTACTGCGGCCATGGTTGCGACCGCTGAGCCCTTGTCGTGAGCTTGGATGTTTCAAACTACTGACTTTCTGTATCGACCTTCGGAACTTGCATTTGATCTGAGATAGCTTACTCGGTGTCTATATTGAGCTATGTATATACTAATTCCTTACTGAACAAGTAGTAGCATCATTGGTCTAGTGGTAGAATTCGTCGTTGCCATCGACGAGGCCCGTGTTCGATTCACGGATGATGCATTTAAATTTTTTTTCCCTCGGCGCTGGTCCCCTTCAGCTCGTTCACTCGTCCACTCGTCCTGGGCTCTCGATGTTCGTTCATTATCGGTTTGAGCACTCAGCGATCATCATAAAGGTATATTTACAGTTATATTTATTATTTACAGCCGCAACGTCGCCCGTAAATTCTCGACTTGGCCCTTGAGTTGCTTCGGGGGCTTGGTCCAATCCTCGGCTTTCACAAGGTCTGAACCCGTCTCCATGAATAGGTAGTCTGCTACGCTTGAACGGATCTATAGTCGGTCAGTATAAACGCCCGTGTTGAAAAGGATTACACTACATACCCTGGGAAACGGATGCAGGAGCATTCCGACCATCTTCTTCAGAACGTCTGTCCTTAGACGTTCCAACCGACACAGAGGAGCGTAGACTTTGATTGCAGCTTCAAGCCTTGCCATATTTGTGGTCTTAAAGTGTGCCTTTTGCACAAGTACGAAGAGCTTTCGGAAACTAATTTAAAGTCAGCCGATTGCATCCAAGCTCTTCCTGCCAAATAACTCACCTTGATTCAGACTCTTCAGGCACGGAGGAGACATAACCGTCCACGAGAAAGGCTGCAAATTCCATTGATGGTATGGCGTAGCGGTCATCGTGCAGATTATCGCTCAATATGACTCCAAGGTCCTTCAAAATGGCACGCGCTTCGATCTGCTGCTCCTTCCCACTGTAGCTGCTGAGGCTCTGCACAAGTGCTAGGCGAGTAGAACGGACGAGCCCTTCAGCACCCGCAACAGCAGATGTTGCCAATCCCTGAAACAATGGTAAGCGTAGCCAATCGATCGCTTGCAGCCGAAGTAACTGAACAAAGTATTCGGTCGAAGACACATGGCTGAAATGGTCATATTTTCTGCCTCAGTCAGCATAGGTACTACCGATTCAATAATACATTTATCTTACTTCTGTAACAGTGGAAAGTCTTCCGCTGACGCCCAGAAATCCTGTAGACAAATCCAAGCTTGTAGACGGACTTTGTCCAACTTTTCTGCAGCAAGCCGGCAAAGACAACCCACCATATTCTGGGCATAGATAGAGCGGGATCCAGGACGAGATTGATGTCGAAGGATAATCTTTGCTGCTTGAATTGCCTCCAGTCTCAGCAAGGACCCAACATCGCCTCGCCTGTCGGTTGTGTAGTCATTCAGAAATCTAATGATATGATTCGCAATATCCTCCGTGATAGCTGCTGCAGTCAGCATATTGTTTCATTCGATATACGCTGAACTCACCGATATAGGGCAAAATCCCTGTAGTCAAGCTTTTGACTGCTACTACCCTCTTCTCGATCAACTCCTCCTTGTCAGTGCAGCGAAGCAATGTCTCGATCACAGACTGTCTCAAACTATTGGCAGGTTCAAGTTGCCTGAACACCGACCCTAAGACTGAGATCTGTCCTCTGCCCGTTGGCAGCTTCCACGTAGCACGAATGTGTGCGAACCAATCTTGGATCGTTTGCTCCTGTTTAGATGATGATAGAAGAGGGAAGAACTCGGATACAGCTTCAGATGATGTTTCTATAGCGACATCTTCACTGCGGGATAAACATAGCAAGAGGGTCTCATGTGCTCTGTCCAGTGAAGTAGATGATGGCTGAGAACAAGTAGGCTCATTTCCTTGGGTAACTGATTGGGAAAGCGAACGAATCAAGCGCGATGAGGCTTCAGCTGTCAATTCCGGTCGAGAAATTTGGAGTGTTAGGTCATCCTTGGTAGGGCCGACTGCTGAGCTAAAAATGTCCCAGAGGTCGGTAACTTGTTGGGCAACGAGAATGGCTTTGGATTGCTCCTTGCTGTCCCTCGCTGTGGCTTTGTGCGCATTAAAGGCATCTACTGTGGCGGAAATAGACAGCAAACAGCCATGTCTCGCCTCGACGTCCCCGCGAGGAAGACTCGATAGCTTATGCCGTAATCCGTGAAGCACTATGCTGATCGTCTTGTACGATTCGTGGATACTGAGTTCTCCGATTGCTTTTGCGGCCTGTCGTCTGGATTCAGCGTCAGGAGATCCGATTCCTCGCCAGCCGAGGAGAGATTCCACAAGTGGACTCCAGTAATGGTGACTTAGTGCAGCGGTGGCTTTCGCCACGTCAATCATCGCTCGTGATCGTCTCGCAACTGCATGATAATCCACTACCTGAACTAATGAAATTCCCTCGGCAATGGTGTTGGGATGGCGGCCAATCAGCTCCTGCAGAGCAGCAGAGGCGCCTCTTCGGATATTCCCTGAAGGATCCATACAAGCGGCACATACTAATTCTGTTGCCAGTATCTGCAAGATGCTCTCTTCATCCTGACGCGACGGGGTGCTTATCGTTTGCGTGTTCAGGGTCAACAGTTCCTGGGTTGTGTATTTCCGAGAAATTGCCCATATTCCGAAACACGAAGCATCTCGAACGCCGGTGCCTACCGAGCTTCCCGTGGATGATCGTTGTTCAAAATCGAGACCGGAGATTAGCGGTTGCAGTACATGTGGAAGCTGATGGGTTGGAGGAGCGCGTCGAAAGAGTAAATGCCCCAGTGTGAGTATCAAGCCTTGCCACCTTTGCGCATCTACCGCATTCAGGTTTCGCTGAAGTAGATGCAACCCGATCTTTCGCGCTTCGAACGGTGCGACAATTGTGCCATCCGGCTTCTCGTAAAGTATATTCTCTTCTAGGGAGCCAGTGACAGCCTCGATGACTTCGGACGCCATGTTCGGGTCCAACTTCAGAGTAATGATACTGAGTGCTTTGCTTGCGGCAAAGCGGACAGGTGTATCCTTGTCGGCGAGAGACACCAACAAATGATCGATTGAATCTTCCAGAATCGAAGAAACTTTCTCCTCGGGAATTGGGCTCTTTGGTCTTTCGCTAAGTGACAGTGCCATGACTGTCACAGTTCGCAGAATCTTGATGATAGTCTTGCGAGCAAGAGCAGACGAACTGATGATCTCAGATACACGCGTTCGCTCCTGTGCAATATGCAGAGTGCGTTCAAAGGTCGGAATGATCAAGCGCGCAAACTCATCCACCTGCCCCGAAGCGCCCAATCGTCCCAGGAAAGACAAAACACCGATACACGTGTAGACAGAAGGAAGTTCTTCGCTTTTTCCAGGATCCAAGACAGCAAACGCCCATTCGGTAAGATTAGTCAGGAGCCCAAGGGCTTGCATATCCCGCCGCAAAATCAGCCGCGCAAGCAAAAGAGTCGCAGCCTCCCGTTCTTTACCAGGGACATTGACATATTTCAGCGTCACCGAAAGTAGAGACTTTGCTACCATTGGCGCATGCTCCGGTAAAGGCTTGATTTGACCCAGATTGTCGAACGGTACCGGGACATCATCCGAGGACAAGGAGGAAAGGTCAAAGGGGGCGAGCAATAAATGCGAAAGCCAGATCAGCATCACGTAGCGCTCCTCCCAAACTAACTGTCGCGGATTTTCCCCATAAGATTCGCCCACAGCGAGTACATCCCACTCGATGAACGCCCGCAACATAGGATCAAGGTACTTGGGCTCATTGTTCAGAAAGCGACTGATAACTTTGACCCCGCGGACCTTGCAAAAGGTGTAGAGAAGCCGACAGATAGCCCTTGGCAAGGGATACAGTACCTGCTCAGCCTTGGGAGCTCTAGAGCCATATTGGTCACGATACTTGACCAGGTAGGCAAGGAAGGCATCCACCAGAGGAGGCAGAAGCGCCTGCAGATGCGGGTCTAGCAGCTGCGGCCACTCTTGGAAAGGCTCAAGCTGCAGAGTAACACTGTGAGCAAGTTATATCAACGATATTTAGAGAATGAATGCCCTTACAAGGTTTATAAGTCTCTCTGCCTTGGCCGCCTGCGTCCATCTTCGCGGGACTCGAATACTCTGTCTCTCCTCATTCCGCGGTCTCCAGAGTAGAGATGGTAGCTTGGCGGAGAATTCCTTGACCAAGTCACCGGAAGCTCTCTGTAACTTGATCTCCCTATCGTCAGATTCATCCATTATGAAACTTTGCACCTTTAGTGGATTTGTGCTTCTGCGACTCTGTCAATCAACAAACAGCGGGGAGACATTGGTCAGGGTCACGTGATATATACTGCGCATGGTCGCTTTGGGACTGATACAGCACGATTTGATCCCAACAGAAAAGGCAATATGGCAGAGCAAATGCTGTTCGAATGAGAATCTCTGACGGTTTGCTAAGTTTGGTTGGCACTACTATTAAGGAGTAGATTATATATGCTATGACTCAGCCATGTGACTTGCAGACAGCAGCTGTCACAGTGTGCCAATTCCTAGTTAGAGCCTAAGGCCTGCGAGCCAAAGCAATGCAGCTAAAAAGAAGACTCTCTCCTCCTGAGGCATCCGCGTTCAACTTGATGATCCTCTTGATGCCCATGTCAAGCGCTCGCGGACTGAGAACATCCTCGTCATCAGCAAGACTTCCTCTCTCCAGAGGACCCTTCCTCGACCCTTCGAGCTCCCAGAGCTTCCCACCGCTCTTGACGAAACTCACAAAATGCCCACCATTACGCTCACTCGTCGGATCCGCATAGCTGTCTCCGGCCTGCTCGACCGACTTGTGAGCAAGTTCGAATGGCTCGCTGTTGTACAGCAACTCGGCGCGTTTGGTCATATCAAGCGGTATGGCGAGGCTTCGTATCGCCGCGAGATCGGAATCAGGCTTGATAAAGTCGACGGCCGGACCGTTGATCAAGCTATGGAGCAGACCGATCGAGCCGCAGGCGTGGCCGATGGTCTGCTTGAACCAGATGACCGGCTCGTCAGGGCCCGACCCAGTGTAGGGTTCTTTGTTAGTGTCTTCGGCCTCGCGACTTCGATCCCAAGCTGGTGTAAGTGGAATGATAGCCAGCAGAGCCAGGGCAGGCCGGGGGATATGTGCGAGTTGTTCGGGCTCATCCAGGGAATAGACGTCGTAGAATTGGAGCTCAGATGATAGACCCAACTTCGTTGCCAATTGGTTCATTACATCGGGGTTGTTCTCTGCCATTTGCGATGAGTTTCTACTCAAAGCCAAGTGGTCCATGAGCGCTTAGGTCCCTTACCAAGCATTACCCATGTCTTCTTTTCCATTTTGGGGTATCAATAGATGGAGGACGTCGAAAAGTCAGAAATGGTGGTGTGTAACAGAGAGCTCAACAGTATGTAGAATGATTGTATGGGAGGGGTGTAAGCTGACCTTACAGGAAGGGGGTAAGCTGGCCTTGTCATAAGCACCACCTCCTACACCATGAAGTTACTTATAGTCGTAGTACAAACTTAGTAGCCACCTTTCGTCCTTATTAAATAATAGTCTAGTATTATCCTTAACTCACAGAGCCAAAATAATTCATATCGTCCTTAGGACCATCTTGGTGCCCTTATAGAGCATGCTGGATGTCTTCTGTTCAACTAACAAGCTTTCACCAGTATATCAATGGTAAAGCTGGCGTTCGCGACGGAAAAGAAAACATGGCAGGGCAAATCCTGTTAGAATGAAGGTCTCTAGTAGTTTGTTAACTGGCATATGGCTGTATCAAGTTACATATATTTCACTAACCCCCTCCAGGCATAAAAGCAAACCACTGAATTTGGTAAACGCTGGTAAGAGAAAGGAAGCCCCAGAGTCGAACTGATTCTGAATAATTGGTGTAACGATATGTCTCAAAGTTTGATGCTCACAGATCTTGGTCCACTACCACATGTGCATCTGCATTGAATCTGCACAAGCCTGCCAAATCATGCTCGGCAAGCTCCATCATGGTGTTGCGGATATGCATGACAGATATTGCCACTGCAAGGGAGTTCCACACATCTTGACCCTGTTCACTGAGATCAAGTTGGCAAATGAAGTGGCTGTCTTCACTTCCCCGTTGACCCTTTGCGGCGGAAGGGTCGCTGTTCAGGGTTAAGATGGCGACCACTGGACCGCTGATAACAAAACCAGTAAGAAGAGGGGGCATAGTCGTTGCTTTTGCTTTTGCTCTATTGGCAGTCGCCACAAGCTCTTTCGTAGTGGATGCAAGGCCATAGGCACTTCGAAATCGATCCGCCAGCTTTTGTAGACGTCGGTTCACTTTCACCACAGCGTTGACGGTACTTTCTCCTCTCTTTCTGGCGCCTATTGCATACAAGGGTATTTCATCTGAGCTGACATGTAGACCTGCATCATACACAGCCCAGCGAATGTACTTGCTAATTGCCCGTTTTATGATGGGCTCAGGTCGACGATGCACCAGATTGCAGTCTCTCACATAACCGCCGAGAGAGAATAGAACGGAAAGTGACCTGATTGCTGCAACATATTCAGCGGACCATCAAAAGCAAATTGCATGGCTGAGCCTCGACTTACCATAGAACTCTGAGCCTCTGATTGCATTGATCAACGGCGTCGCTTTCTCGCCAGAAACAGCGAAGAGGGGATTCGGGAGTGTGGAGAAGTCGTAATGCCATTGCTTGGGAAGCAAAGGTTCAAAACCCCTCATGGCGATTCGATAGAAAAGTTGTTTTTCTACTTCGTTCCAGAGACCCTTGGGCACATTGACCGCGTTTGCCCAGCGCTTCGCTCTTTCCAGGGACAGATCTGGTACAGAATTGTCTGGCTCATCTTCCTGAATCGATGGAGTATCATCTACTTGCGCACCAGAGTCTGAATGCCCCACAACGAAGTCACAGCTTTTGCTTCTTTTCCTTGACGAGTCTACCTTGCCCTGGGTGTGAGTCTCGTCATTTGTATTATCTGCCAACTGAGCCGGATAACCTTTTCGAGAGCGTTGATGAGCTTTGACAAGTGCGAAGAAGGCTCTGTTTCTATCATCCGCAATCTTGTTGAGGACCTTCATCGCTTTCACCACTAAGGGGTGGCTCGGCTGTGCTCTGGCGTTTACAAGCTCCCACGGATTCTTGGTGACCCCTTCTCCGTCAGAGCTATCAGGCTGAGGATCCGTGAGAGCCGGAGAAACTGGGACTCTTGGAGGTGGTGTCAGTTCAGTCTTCATCATTTTCGCGGGTCGAGAAGGTGTGTCTTTGCTAGGAGTAGGTAGATTCCCAGCTCCAATGTCAGCGGTCGCTTTCCTTTTCGAGGTTCCTCTGTCTGTAGCCCTGCCCTTGCCCCTCTTTGATGAATCCAGAAATATGTCCTGGCCTTCGTCGTCTTTGTCAGGAACGAAGGTAGGGTCCAAAGTCCTTCTCTTCTTTCGCTGTAAGCCCGTTGGAAGTCGTTCATCGTCATCATCTTCACCACCGTCATCCTTGCCGGGAATATACGTTGGGTCGAGAGGTCGTTTCCTCCGACCATCTTTGGGAATCCTTGGGGAGAGCTGATCGTCTTCATCTTCATCCTCGTCATCTTGATTCGGATCATACAAAGGGTCCAGATCGCGGCTCTTGTTCGCTCTGCCGCTTGTAGTGTCTCCGGTGCTTGTCATGTCAGACGGACTCATCAAGCCGTCGTTAAGACTCTCTTCATCATCAACGTCTTTCGGGTTTGTAACTCGTTTCTTTCGAATTCTCGGCATTGCGGCGTATTCTGACATCTTTGCGGCTAGCTTTGCCTGTTTAGTAACTGTAGCTCCTGTCGTTGTGTCCACTGCTAGTAGGGTGTAGCTCACATTCGTTTCACTCCAAGGTGCAGTAGACTCAGCTCCGTATTCGTAATGGCTTATCTGCTGAGGATCAAAGTTCTATTCGCAGCAAAATCACTGATAGTCTCAAGTGCTTTACAAGAGGATAGGGAAGACTCTGAATAGTCGGAGAGATACAGGTCCTTTGCCGGGGAAGAGTGACTCGAGGGCACAAGACACTAGAATTATTACCGTCTGAAAGGACGAGTGCACTCTGCAGTGCCACGGTAGGATGAAAAAAAGAAATTAGCAGATAATTCTATCTTTAGTGTCCGCGGGTGCCTTTCTTTGTTGGATTCGAGAAGGTGCGTTGACAGAGGCAAAGAACATCGAGGACGCCAATGTCAAAGATGAGTCTAAAAGACAAAGAGAAAGAAGCGAGTCTCCGAGTCAAACTCTACCAGTGATCATCTTTGCAATTTAGTGGATGTGTTGCATCCAGGCCAATATCGATGTTCGCATGGAATATGGCTGTGCGCATTGAGCAACACAAAGAGACTTGAAACGCGAAGCTCCCTACGAGATGAAACAAAGGAAGTATAAGCTGATAGATTTATGCATACGCTTCCATATCCCTGGAGACAACACTTCCTGGAAGACCTGAAGCGCGGTGAATGCCAATGGACCTCCACGCAAACCCTGCTTTGGCTTGCCTCTCAACCGTCGTCTACGGAAGCGTCGGTACCTCGCTCAAATCAGAAACTAGTGATGAGCGACAATCGTCGAACGGAGAGCATTGCATAGTCACATCTCAGAAATGGTAAACTAGAATTCTTGAGGATTAAAGCGATTAGCCCTAAATATTTTTTAAAACGAATGAGGAAGACAGAGACCCCGGGACCAAGCCGTATATTCGATCCGCGCTCATCAAGGCCGTAAAAGTGCGCACACCAGCTCTGAAAACTCTCATGGGTATGTTAAGGAAAATCTCCAATGCAAAAACAAAGTGCTCATGGCGACCAGCGGTTGGTCAAGAAGTCAAAAAGCAAAGGGTTCCAAAGATCTGGTTGGACGAATGAGCAACGAAGGCGATGTCGCGATATTTCTCAATCCACACCGAGTAACTTAAGCGAAGTCCGCAGTGTACGAGAAGCCGCGGAACTCCTCCTGCATAGCTTGGGAGAGGACTAGAAATGGCATCGTTAGCCTTGAAACAGCCAATACCTACGGGTGATATCTTACCTGACTGCACGGGTGTGAGAACCGGGGTCACACTCGTGAACTCCTGATCAAAGTTGCTTGTATCAGTGGGGCTGCTGATCGTCGGCATGAAAGGCGGAGGAACACGCTTGTGGTAGATATCGTCCCAGTTGATGTTCCTGAAGAAGGCATGGGACATGACTTCTTGAGCGTCTGTGGGCCCAGATCCCAATCTCAGCTCAGGTTCACGGGTGAGCAATTTCTGTAGAATAGAGACTGAGTCCCGAGGCATGTGGATTGGATAGAGAGGTTCATCGGCAAGAATTGCATCGTAGATTTCATCTTCGTCTTCACCACGGAAAGGCGACTGTTGCAGGAGCATTTGATAAATCAGGACACCAAATGCCCACCAGTCGACCGCTCGGCCATACTTTTTGTCCAGCAGAATCTGTAAAAGCGTTAGTTGATGATGCAGAGACTTGAAAAAGCGAAGATCCTTACCTCAGGTGCCATGAACTCGGGAGTTCCACAGAATGTGCTCGTCGTGCTTCCATACCACATATTCTCCTTGCAGAGACCGTAATCGGCAATCTTGATGTGTCCATCTAAAGTCAGGAGGATATTGTCCAGCTTCAAGTCACGGTAAATAACACCGTTTTCATGGAAGTATTTGAGAGCCAGCAGAACTTCGGCAGCATAAAACCTGTGAAGTGCGCGGTTAGTTTTCCTGATACTTCCGGATATGTGCGCTTCTATGTGCTCAACTTACTGTGCTCTTTTCAGCCCAAACTGACCGCGTTGAATATGAAGCATCAGATCACCACCGCTGATGTATTCCATAACAAAGTACACACGAGTTTCTGTCTGGAAACAGGCGTGAAGGTTGAGAAGGAATGGATGGCGTTCCTTGTTGGCGATCAGAAAGACACGCTTTTCGGATTTAGTGCTCTCCACTTCATCATTTTCGATGATGAACTCCTTCTTCAGCACCTTGATGGCATAAAGCTTCTTGGTGCTCTTTGTCTCTGCTAGCATGACCTTTCCGAAGTTACCCTTACCGAGAACGGCTAGGAAATTGAAATGATCCAATCCAATTCTAACTTTCGGTTGCTGAGGAGGAATTTCCTCTTTTACGGCGACTTGTTGCTGCATTGGCGCAACAGCTTGCTGCTGCTGTTGCTGCTGCTGTTGAGGCATGGCATAGGGCGCACCCATCTTTTGCATCGCTTGAGGAGGGATGGCTTGCTGGTAGGATGCATACGCGGCAGGGTCATAGTGGGCGTGCGAGGACGGCGGTGGTTGCACTGGACGGTTAGGATCTAGAGGTAGGGTAAGCAAGGGCACATATTGCGCACCGAGTGGTGCAAGGGAAAGTGATCGACCGTACCTGAAACTTGCTGGGGCGTACGCAGACCTGTGGCTGCGGCGGCGGCGGCGGCGGCTGCGGCTGCGGGCTTTGCGAGGAAGAAGTTCGCGGAGGTAGGTGCTGACGCTGAGCCGCTGTGGGTGACTGTGGAGGAATATAAGTGTTGCTTGCGGCGCTGATAGCCTCGGCCGATGGCTGTCTCTGAGGGGCACCGTAGGCACCCTCAACTGGCTTTTGAGGATAGGCGAGGGCAGCATTATCTTGAGGGACCTGGGGCGGACCGCCTGGTCGAAGGGTACGTCCACTCAGACCGGAACTGACAGATGCTGATTTATTATGGTTCTTCGCTCGAATGAGAGTTTCCAAGATCTGGTTGGCTGCTTCCATGGACATGCCACAGAAGTCAGGAACAAGATGGGTACATTGAGCATGGCAAGTAAGACCACATTCTGCAAGAGAATCGCAAATATAGGTCAGATCCGGTATTGAAAAATGTCCTAGAGCCATAAGGAAGTCATACCTGTACAGCGCTTAGCGCTCTTTCGTCCGAAAGGAAGCAGGTATCCGCAGTGACAACACCAATTGGCCGAGATGTTGGAGAATCCCTCGAAACGATGCGGAATACGGTGGTTGATCTTCTCCTCGTCGGGATCCGTTTCATAGTTGGCCTTGCTGATACACTTGGTGACGACCTTTGGATAGCACTTTCGGTGACAGGTATATTTACAGTCGGCACACTGCATGCCGGCAGCATATTTCAAGAAATCACCACAAAGTGCACAGCGCATGATGTTGTAGAATTGCTGGGTGACAAACTTGTGACCCTGCTTCTCGTGAACCTCCTCCTTCTTCTGTCGGACGGCACCTTGACGGTTGAGACCGATATCGAAGGGGCGGCGATCCTTCAATTGCTTGGCTATAGAAATATGTCAGTGCGCTGACGTAGTGCAAAATGTGGTATACAGGTACTCACCGAAGCTCAGTGTCAGGTGGATACGACCAACTGGCTCCAACGCGAACCAACTGTCGATCAGGACCGGGCCTGCAGGAGGGCCGCCGGGAGCACCACCCGCATATCCTTGACCTGGACCGCCAGGATGACCCCCAGAGGGTGGTCGATTGGACGAGCCCGGCGCTCCGCCAGCGTCTTGCCTGCCATGTGCGCCCCCGTGCTCCATCTTGTCTGCAGAGACCCAGCCCGATGCGTTAAACTCCGACTCGATCTTCTTGCGGCGCATTTCTTCGGCGATGTCAGTTATGCGGACCCAGAGCATGCCAATAGGGGTGGGCCGATCGCCGGACTTGTCGTATACGGTAAGTTCAATTTCATTCGCTTTGTCAATTTCAATGTTAAACGCCTCATCTTGCCATTTGTCAGTTCTGGTAGCTTTCGTTCTCGCTTTGATGGCGTCCTCTACTTTGACAACGACAAAAGTCTCGGGACCTCTGGAGAACCTTGAGCTGGCAGCATGATCGACATCCTTTACAGCATGAATACGCAATGTTAATAGACCGGTCAACGGCTTGCGCAGGTTTGGTGTGCTCAAGCTTTCGTCTGTTCAAATCAAGTCAGTAACTGCAGATTGCGAAGACAAGGTAACAAGCAGTGGCTCGCAACATACCGTCAGGTGCTTCGGCGGATTCAATATCCACATGAAGGTCCTCATATCGTTTGAGAGCCTGCTTGAGCAGCTGAATTTTCTGATTACTCTCGATCCGCCTCCCCTCTGCGTCCTGTCTGCTCTTCCTATCGCCCTCATCTTGATATAGGCGGACCATCTTCTCGATACCGGCCTTGTACTGCTTCTCAACGCTCAATTTAAATTCCAGTTGAGATAACATGAGCTGAATCTTCGGTCCAAGATAAGGAGTGTCGTACTTGATCAGATCTATACGCAAATGGTCCAAAGTCAGTAGACGATCTCACGCGACCCCGCGAAAACATCTCAAACAAGCAACAACATCGCTCCGCACATCAAACCAGCAGTAGAAACCTACCAAGTTTAGTATAATTCGGCCGGGCCTTTGGAACGGGAGCAAAAGGACGAGGATCCGCAAAGGGCGCCCCGGACGGCATGGTCCCTGCCCCTCCATGCGGATAAGCCGAAGAAGCATCCCCATACTCCCTCTCGTGACCCGGATAGCCTGATGCGTAATCTTTCGGAGGAGGAACTGGGCCCGATCCATCAGGGTTCGGAGGAAGACGTTTGTCTGTGGGGGAAGCCCCTTCCTGCTTCATCTGTCGGAGCTGCAGCTCCCGCATCTTCTCTTCGAGGTAGGCGATGTTTTTCCGACCATCGCGAATATTCGCATCGACTCTCTGCTGCACGAGCGGGTTATCCGTCGACTGCCGCATGTTCGACGCGGCAGTGATAAGAGCCTTCTCCCGCTCGATCTTGCGGTAGAC